CGAGAATGATTTTTTATCACATCCAAATGGGGAAGGCCTTTCTAGGAATGACCAAATGCTGAACAATAAGACTAAAACTAAGTTTCTGTTTGACAAAATGATTATGAACAATATCAGCATATAAATGGTGAACTAGGGAAAATAACTACAACTTAATACAACAGGCAAAGGGCTAATTGCCCTAATATTTTAAGAACTCCGAAAAGAAATCAATGAAAAAGATTTAAAAACTCAGGAGAAAATGGACAAATGTTATGATCAAAGAGTTCACAGGAAAGGGAATGCAAATTTTTCATAAATACATGAAAATATGATCAATCTTATACTCTCATAAAAATATGGTCAAAAATATGAGAAATATTAAAACAAAGATCAAAATATGCGATCACAGAAGCAACAGGCACCCTCACACATGGCTGCAGAGAACCTAAAATGTTACAATCTCACCAGGGCTACGTGGCAATATCAAAAACATGTGACAAACACGTGGATCCCCCAGATACATTTCAGATGTGAAATGACTTATGAACATAGTTATTCATTGCAACATTGTTTGTAATAACAAAAGATGACTGTCAACAATCTAAATCCCAACAACAGGAAAACGATGGTTTTTTTCCCTTTAACAATAACTTGGAGATCATTTGCATTAGTACATATGGGAGTATGGGCTAGTTTCCCTCATTTCTCCTCTTTTCAGAATTTACTTACTACTGTGTATGAATCAGCTCATCTAATCTATCCTCCCACCCCAAGGCATTCTTTTTTTTTAAGGCTCTATATTGTACTATTTGGGGAAAAGAGGGAGAAAAAGAACATGTGTACATATTTACTTATATGTGCATAAAATATCTTTGGAAGGAATCACAAGAAATTGACAGCTTTGGTTGCCCCAAGGAGAGGACCTTGATGGACAGCGTTGGGAGGGAGCTAGATGGTATCTGTCTTGAAACTCATGAATGTTGAACCATGTGAATTAATTACTTATTAACATAATAAATCTATTTAAAAAATAATAAAATCCCTTAGTGGGCAGCCTCTAGACCCAAATTTACCAAGTTCTAAGCCTCTTAAATTTTGATAATCCAAAGGCACAGTGGTCTCTTCTCAGAAAAAGATCTGAAGATTTTGTGTTAAAAAGTCACATTTCTCTGGATCATTTCTTATTCTAGTTTGAACACAACTGCTAGAAAAATAAATGCCTCTTGGTTAAATGCCTCAGCCATTCTCTCTCCAACACCTTTCCTTTCGAGGGTCCTGGCACATGGTGAGCCATGCCAGCGCATCTTTGTTCCTCAGAGTCCTCTGCACATCTAAACGAGAAGCACCTGGGATTCTCATTCCACATTTGGTCTAGAGATCTCACACTCTACTAGTGAGCCGCCTTTTTATTTACCAGTGAGGATTGAATGCACTTAATTAACTAACATGAAAACAAGCCACAAGGTAAGTTATTGAGCTGGGTGGGAAAACATGAGTAAGACAATTAATTGCTTGTTGAAACACTCTACTCTTTCTTAGTAGCACTTAGAGACCCATTTTGGTTGGAAATGAAAATCAGAAGCATTAAAGAGATTTCAATTCAGGTATCCCCCATTCTACTCTCTGTATAACAACTGGTTTTTTTGTTTGAAAAACAGAATAAACAGTCACCAGATATTTCTCCATATATTAAGTAATGGCCAGTAATATGTGGTATTTACTTACGTTCCAGAAAGGAGAATTTTGAAGAGAACGCACCACCTCCAAACCACCATTAAAACTGAGATAATGCAATGCCACTCCTAGATTTTACCCAAATGAAATGAAAGCTATGCTCACACAAAAACCTGTAGGCAAATTTTCCAGGAGCTTTAGGCATAATCACCCAAATATTCTTCTCTGGGTGAATGGATAAATAAACTGTGGCACATCCACACAAGGGCAAGTAACTAGCAATACAAAGGAATGAACTGCTAATACACAACAACTTGGATGAATCGCAAACCCAGTATGCCAATGACAAAGCCAGATTCAATGCCATTTATGTAACATTCTGGAAAAGGCAAACTAGAGGGCTGATGGTGGGAGAGAGGGTTTGACTACAAAGGAGCACAAGGGAATTCTGGAGGCTGATAGACTGTTCCATATCTTGTGATAGCCTCAAAGAACTCTACACTGAAAAGGGTGACCTATTGTATACAATTATGCCTCAGTTTTAAAAAAACATGGAAATTATCAAGTATAGAAGAAAATACAGTTATACTACTTTCTGCACAACAGTATTCTAAAAGTGATTAATATTTAACTAAAATCTACAAAAGTCAGTTCACTAGTAATGGAACTGTAACAAAATATCAAGATATCAATTTATGTGGCCTACATACACTTCCTGCCAATATAGCAGAAATATTATCACCACTAAACAAATATTTTTGGCCTGCCTACCACATGTCAGACACCATTCTAGGCACTCGGACACCGCAGTGAACAAAACAGGCAAAGCCCACGCTGTCAGGGGGTTACATTCTAGTATAGTATCTCACTCTGGTGCAACATTGATATGGTAAAACATAGCTAGTTTCTTCTAAGTATGGCATAGTATAAATACAGGTATAAATACTAAGTAAAATGGGCTGACAAAAAACAAGGCTAAGGCCGAGGTAGGAGGATCACTTGAGGTCAGGAGTTCGAGACCAGTCTGAGCAAGACCGAGACCCTGTCTCTACAAAAAACAGAAAAATTAGCCAGGTGTGGTGGCATACACCTGTAGTCCCAGCTACTCAGGTGGCTGAGGCAGGAGGATTGCTTGAGCCCAGGAGTTCAATGTGACATTACCCCAGCTAGAGACTCTGTCTCAAAAAAAAAAAAAAAAAAGCAAGGCTACTGTCCGATGGTGAGATCTGAAATACCTAGTTCTGAAACTTTCTTGAGACCCTGGAAAAGAAACTTCAGCCACTAAGTAAAAGTTGAGAAGAAAGAGGCAAAATAAGATTGGCAACAGTATCCACAAAAAGTAAAATTTGACAAAAGTCCATAATATGGGGTCTTCACCACAGGAATAAAGTCTACTACTGGTGTGCTGTGTGGTTTCAGGTGTTAGCTACTACATATTAGCAAAATTATGTGTTAACAGAAATGACCTGTTTTCAGATTTCAATATGGGTTGAGCATCCCTGATCTGAAAATCCAAAATCTTAAATGCTCTGAAACCTGAAACTTTTTGAGCACTGACATGACACTCAAAGGAAATGCTCATTGAATTATTTTAGATTTTGGATTTATGGATTATGGATCCTCAATCAGTAAGCATGTGCAAATATTCCAAAAATTGAAAACAAAATCTGAAATCCAAAACACTTCTGGTCCCAAGCATTTCAGATAAGGGATACTCAACCTGTAACATTAAAACTTACAGAAGAGGCTAGGCACGGTGGCTCACGCCTGTAATCCTAGCACTCTGGGAGGCCAAGGTGGGAAGATCGCTCAAGGTCAGGAGTTCAAAACCAGCCTGAGAAAGAGCGAGACCCCGTCTCTACTAAAAATAGAAAGAAATTAATTGGACAACTAAAAATATATAGAAAAAATTAGCTGGGCATGGTGGCACATGCCTGTAGTCCCAGCTACTCAGGAGGCTGAGGCAAAAGGATTGCTTGAGCCCAGCAGTTTGAGGTTGCTGTGAGCTAGGCTGATGCCACGGCACTCTAGCAAAAAAAAAAAAAAAAAACTTGCAGAAGATTTAGAACAGTGGTCCCCAAACTTTCTGGCATCAGGTACTCGTTTCACAGAAGACAATTTTTCCACAGATCCAGGTGTGGGGGGATGGCTTTGGGATGATTCAAGCTCTTTACATTTATTGTGCAGTCAAAACTCTCTGCGAATGATAATCTGTATTTGCAGGCGCTCCCCAGCGCTGGCATCACTGCCTCTGCTCTGCCTCAGATCATCAGGCATTAGATTCTCATAAGAAGCACACAATCTAGATCCCTCGCATGTGCGGTTTACAGTAGGGTTTGCACTCCTATGAGAATCTAATGCCACTAGCTGATCTGACAGGAGGCGGAGCTTATGTGGTGATGCAAGTGACAGGTAGCGGCTGTAAATACAGATGAAGCTTCACTTGTTCGTCTGCCACTCGCCTCCTGCTGTCCAGCCTGGTTCTTAACAGGCCATGGACTAATACCGGTCTGCAGCCCAGGGGTTGGGGACTGCAGGTTTAGAAAATTGACACTGGTTTGGAACTATTGGCATAAGTGCATAAAAAGACTCCAGACTATAAACCAGACATTTAGGAGGGCTCCAATTACAAAGGAGTCTGGAGCTGGCATAATTATATGCCAAAGTAATGACAGTGGAATATAGGGAGCTGGCCAAAGAAAATGCTTTGTATAACCAGCCCACACTTACATAACGAACAACCCGAACAGCCATCAATTTGAAATCTCAGAGTGAAATCATGTATGAAGGATAAATAATAGTGTATCATCCAAGTCTGAGCCAAGACACAGGCAAACTTCAGGAGTGAAAGACAGGAGATGAGTCCAGTAGCAAATGAGACCAATGGCCTAAAGGGCTGTTATCATAAAGCAAGAGGAGCTCAGCAGAAGCGCATCATAGGGCAGACTGTGTGTTAGGTAAGCAGCACAGAGCAGGGTCTCTGCCCCAGGTTAGTCCAGAGCGGGCTCCCTGGGCCAAATCACCCAACGCCACTTTAAGAATCTACGAGGGGATGGCAATGCCCTCATAATTAATAGTTAATTCTGGGGAGCGTTCATGGGGCAGTAGAGGAGAGGGGCAGAAGAATGTTACTTTTCATTTGATACTATTTTATATTAGTTGAATTTTTCTTAGCAAGTAAAAATATATATTATTTAATTTGCAAAACTAGTTTAAAATTTTTTTGAAAGATCTGAAAGGTATGGTCAAACTAACACTACTGTACTTTTTTTACATTAGAAAAAAGTTGTTTTTTTTTTCCTGATTATTATTAAAGAAGGGAATTTCTGCTCATCTACTCCTACCTTTCCCATTGACAGAACTTCTGTTCCTTGCCCGGAGATGATCGTTTGGGTTTTAGAGTAATTGTCTTTAACAATCCTTCCTGACAAAACAAAGGAAGGGCCAAATTTTAGGATGACATCATGCCTGGTATGTGACAATAAAACTGTAAGCACAAATAAATACCACGGGGGCTGGGGGGGGGTGGGGAGGACAGCAAGGATTAACAGAGCTCAGCCATCATTGGAAAGCATGTGAGCCAATGCTGCACCACCACCAGAGACTGCCCAACAGATGAGAGGACAGCAGGTGTGACTCTCACAGTTATTCAGAGGCAAGTTCTACCTGAGCATCAGTAGCCCAGTCCGGAGAGCTTGATCAGGTGCACGTTACTATCAAGAGTCAAAGGGCTGCGAACTCATCAACACAAGCAAGGGGACAACAGAGAGGCTGGCCAGAGCCCACCAGCTCCTGCTGAGCCCAAGGACCCCAGGTAGCAGCTTATTAGGAAGCAAACTGGCAGAAGACTAACCAAGGAGGGTCAGTAAACTGGTGGGTCTAGACTTTTTTGGTTTAAATCACGTAGTAAATAAAAGCAAAAAGTTCAAAGCCTCATCCATGCACTGCATTATATTTGAAAGTTCATAGAGCCTGTAAGTTTTGGCAAAAGATCAAATAAAATGGGTAGGTATGAAAAAACTTCACCCTGTTGGCTCTGGCTGGTCATAAGTTATAGGATGTATCCTACAACCAGTCCTTTTCCAGGGCTCTAGTCCCGTACAGACACCCCAGCAGGGGCTTTGAGGAAGAGTCAGTGAGGGCAGGAGGAAATGGATATTCTCACTTCAAATATGACAGCTCTGCTTTTATCTGTTTATAAAATAAACATGTACATTTATAAAAATTAATGTGTACATTTATAAAAATTAACATTAGAATTACATATAAGACTTCATTGAATATAAAAGAGTTTCACTGCTTGATTATTTTTGGAAGGTCTTTATCCTAAACAATGTTCATTTTACTGAGCTGTTTACAAGGAAACATTCATTTGTAACTGACAAGATGAAAGGTAAAATATATTTTCCATCACCTTGAGAAAGATGCTGTTTCTCTAAGCCTGGATTTTTTTCTACCTACAAGTGAGAGTAAGCTGCCTCTTCACCAAGGCACTGTCGTGCATGGTTGTTCACCATGTAAGTGTGTCTGAAAAATCTTCTGTGCACATAAATTAGAGGACAATAATTGAAACCAATAAAAATTCTTCATTTCGCAAAAGTATTTTACAAAAATTTCATCTGTACATGTTTATGTTTATATGAAAAATATCTAAAAGGACAAACTGCAGGAAGTGGGATTTGCCAAGGGAGGAGTTTTCACCTCTCTCTTTTATTTGTGGTAATGTTTAAGTCTTATCATTTTTATAATTTAAAAAATGTAAACATGGGCCGGGCGCTGTGGCTCACGCCTGTAATCCTAGCTCTTGGGAGGCCGAGGCGGGCGGATTGCTCAAGGTCAGGAGTTCAAAACCAGCCTGAGCAAGAGCGAGACCCCGTCTCTACTATAAATAGAAAGAAATCAATTGGCCAACTGATATATATATATAAAAAATTAGCCGGGCATGGTGGCACATGCCTGTAGTCCCAGCTACCAGGGAGGCTGAGGCAGAAGGATCGCTCGAGCCCAGGAGTTTGAGGTTGCTGTGAGCTAGGCTGACGCCACGGCACTCACTCTAGCCTGGGCAACAAAGCGAGACTCTGTCTCAAAAAAAAAAAAAAAAAAAAAATGTAAACATGGAGCCAGGCATGGTGGCACCTGCCTATAGTCCCAGCTATTTGGGAGGCTGAAGTGGGGGCATCACTTGATCCCAGGAGTTCGAGACCACCCTGGGCAACATAGTGAAAGATTCCAGCTGAAAAAAAATGCAAATAAATGCAGTTTCCCAAAATGAGGTCTGGAAACGACTGATCTAGAAAAATTCTCTGGAAAACAGAAAAAAGGATGTGAGGTCAACCAGGTTTGGCAAGCGCTGCACACTCACCCCTGAGAGAGCACAACATCCTTCAGCATTGTGAAGGCTCCACAAAGTCCTGCCAGGAGCGACAGGGGGGCCCAGATCGCCACAGCCGGAGAGCAACCGTGCCCAGCACGCCACAGTGCCCAGCGCACTGGACCACACCACACACAGGAATCATGAGCCAGGACTGGAGCACATCGGTGCATTAACTGGCCTCTCCCTGAGCTCTAGACATCCGAACCGGGCAAAGTTTATTTCTGAGCTTTGGGACATTGCGGGTTTCCTTGTTGGCATACTACTGTCACTTGGTGATTTGTTAGCAACGCTCTTCTGAAACCGTGGCCCAATGGCCCACCGGCCCATGGCTAACCAGTCTGTTTTCTGAACAGAAGTTGAAACCTAGAAAAGTAACTGTGTTTGGGGGGGGGTATAGATATGTCTAGTAAAAGAACTGCATGTATGTATATTAACAACTACCTGATGAAAAAAATGCAAGGAGTTAAAGAGATATTCAGAGCTGGGGGTTACAAACTCAAGTGGAGCTAGAACGAAAATGGAAAACTGCCTTCACCTGCGAATTTTTCTGGAATCTGTCTGGCTAAGAAGTTGGCTGCTGAGCAAACGGCAGAAGAGAAGACTGGAGAGAACGGGGCAGCAGTGCGACACTGATCCCAATAGAAGGAACACATAAAAGGAGCAAGAGGGCACATGCCTTAGCGGTGCAGAAAGACAAGGGGACTGGGGTGGGTGGGTGGTGCAACAGCAGCGATGAACTTCCTGAAACAGGCTGGGAGCTGGGACTATCTATAAAGGAAAGTCAGCCTTAGGTTGAGTTGTAAACCACAAACAGGTAGACCAAGTACAGTAGACAGGGCTCTGCTGGCTAAGGGTGGGACATTAATCAGGGAGAAGGCAATGAGGGGAAAGAAGATGAAGAAAAGAGAGGGCCCATCTCTCCAAAACCTGGCAGTGCTGCTGGCCCTCCAGCTTGTGAGCAGCACGGCTGGATATTTAGCACTGGGGGACAACTGCCCCAGGAATTAGGTGGAAGGTGTAGGCTGCAGATTTTGGGTCTCAGAGAGGGCATGGCTAGTGACACAGGGCAGAATCCAGGGCGATGCAAGGGCAGGAGGTCCAGACAAAACACTCGGCATTGGGAGGAGGGCAGAGGAAAAGCCAACCACCGTGGTTGAGGGAGGTCTCAGCCTAGGTGGAAGTCAGAGCAGCTTGCTGGGGGTGAAGGGTGCACAAGACATGCTGACACTTGTCCAGCTGCAGAGTCTGGAAGTCCACACATCCCCAGTGGTCAAGCAGGCTCTACGAATGCTCAGGCCAGTATGAGATCTGCTGCAACAAACACCAAATGAAGAACTACATGGACAAATTTATTGCATCCCAGTTTTCAAAAAGGCTCAGATCATTCTGAAAGTACCTCTCATGCATTAGGTAAGGGTTTAGGTTATGATTCAGGAGACAAGCTTTTTCAGGAGTATTAGATTGTTAGTGAAAAAAGAGACCCACTTAAAGTTTAGATTATTGTGTTTCTTAAAAGGTTCATAGCTCCCTTAATTATCTTGAGATCCCTCCTAGCTCAAAGATCTACATTTTTATACCCTAAGTCCTTGCAACAGCATTCCTTAGTAAATGATCATTCATTTACTAAGAATCCAGTAGGCCAATTATAGTAAAATAGTTAGGAGTTTTTTAAAAAATAGCATTTTGGCTTTGTAATTTTTCTTTATAATAATGAGCTGCTAGGTATGGGGTTTCTCCTCTTTACTTTTTTTAAAACAAGAAATTACATGCAAGCCAAATAAGACAAAATGCAAATATGGAGGTTCTTGTGGTAATGGTAATCAGCCCACAGTGCATAAATCCCCTGTCATTGTAACCTGGCTATGCTGGGGAGTAAATCTCTTATTTATGTTTTTCATAACCATAATATTTAACAGTGTCATTTTCATGAGTACGTATGCCAGGACTTAAGAATGTAAAACATTCTGAATTTATAAAAACAAATGAATTATATTTACATTATAGAAAGATTTACTGCAGGGTTCTTCTAACCAATACACTCCCCTACTGCACTGAAGACATAAAGTAGTCTACAAGATGCATGAGTCCAACTTTTTGATCAAGAGCACATCTACCACACCAAGCAATGTACACAGCAACAGCAAATTACACTCAGCTCTCAGGGCCCAAAATGCTATAATCTCTGTATATTCTCCTCAGTCACTGACCCTCCTTTCTCCAAGCGGACAGTAGGCAAGTATCTCACAATCTGTTAAGCACTGACAAGCACTCGCTATGCCGTTTCTAGGGTGTACTAGCAATGTGATTAATACTGTGGCAGACAAAGGCAGTTCTGGGGTGTGGGGAAAGCCTGGCAATGCCACCACCTACCCCTTGAGCCCTACTAGGGTTCAGAAGCTAGGATAAGTATCTTAAAACATTATCTCATTTAATCCCCAAAACACAACCTTTGAGTAGGTATCTTTTCCATCCTACAGACACAAATTAAGAGCCAGAGAATGCACACAGTTCCTGGACTTGGGAATAAAAAGATGCAAATTCAGATATTTGTTCTTATTGGTGCCCTTGGCATGTCTTTGAATTCTCTGAGCCTCGGTCTTCTCAACCACAAAATGGGGAATCACCACCTTTTCACAGTATTTGCAAGGATTAATGCACTCTGTGAGCTGGAAAGGGCTATACTAGCGTACGTTATTTTAAAACAATATCAGTTAAGTGTTCTCATGGAAAAGTAAAACTTCTGCTAGAAATATGGAATTAGGGAATTTTTATCACACATTCCCAACTGTCTCATACCACACATGGGGCTTTGGAAACAGAAGTGAAGTTTTTAGACTTAATGAGAAGGATTCTTAGGGAGAAGGTGGCATGACAACAATGCTCAAGCCATGAGAAAGGGTCTACGTTCACGCTGAGCAACGTGAAATGGGACAAAGGCCCTAGAGGATCAAACTTTGGACAATACTCTATTATTTTCTGTTCTTGAGTTTGAGAGAAAACCATATGTATAAGAATTCTGAAATCTCTACTACCACATTTATTTGAATCAT